CGGAGCACTGTACCGGAATGGTACCTTGTGCTCCGGGCAGGCACCGATACGCCCATACTGGGGCGTACCGCCTGCAACCCACCACTGCTTTAATGTCAAAAATGGGAAAAAACTCACTTAACAAATTTTTCACTTAGCAACAGAAATGTTGGGCTCAGTTGCGGTCGTAAGTCGAGGACTACCTATATTATCATAGTAACAAAAGCAATAATTCTTGGGAAGCAAAATTGGAATTAAAACCCTGAAAACAACTCAGAGCTGCTTTGACCTATTTTTGACATTAAAGCAGTGGTGGGTTGCAGGCGGTACGCCCCAGTATGGGCGTATCGGTGCCTGCCCGGAGCACAAGGTACCATTCCGGTACAGTGCTCCGGGGGACCCGCCTGCCCGCCCATTGTCCTTACCTGTCTTTAAACTCTTTGGCGCTTCCGTGCACGGCGCATACAGCGCCTGCGCGACGCTCCGCCGAGCAGCTGGAGCGTTGCAGAGGCTCGCGGAGGCGTCACTGGATGGTAGGTAGGACACATGCGTGCGCTGTGTGCGTTCATGTGGAAGACGCCAGGCCGCAACGGGATCCAGAACCTGCCACTGTTAAAGCTACCCAAATAAATGGAATGTATATATACACTACTTTGGAAATTATATTTCTACCTTCAAAATGCTTATATGTGCCATGTTCTTATTTTGCTTCCCTGACATTAGATTTCTAAACGAAATTGTATGCGGCTTTTATAATAGGCATTTTTGCAATTCATGACATCTTCTGCAGCTATTTATATATGGACAGGAGGATATGACATGCTGGGTAGCATATCTTGCTGAATATGACATAGCTCAAGATAGATCTGCCAGCTTATGTTCTAATAGATGAGAATTAGGGATGACTGGCTAAATAAGGAAGCTGCCCAACCTTTTCTTAACGTCCTAGTCTATCAAGTTGCCCGTTGTATCTGATGCAATTTCTTTTCAACAGCCAAACCAGTGGTGGTGAATGCAACGCCTGTACGGATGTCTGTTCCAATTATTCCAGCAACGCAGACAGTCAAACAAGTGAGTTCCATGTACACCGGCTTCTTACTACGAAGCCAGTTTTTCACTTTCAATTCATTCAATTCTTGCTATCCTTATAAAGTTATTTGTTGCAAAAGATTACAGTTTGGTACACAAGACAAGACACCCTGAATATTTCCTTCCTTGCAGGTGGCCCCCAAACCAATGAACACAACTTCGCAGATAGTTACCACAAGCCAGCCACAACAGAGACTCATTATGCCTGCCACACCACTGCCACAAATCCAACCCAACCTCACCAATCTTCCCCCTGGCACTGTCCTGGCCCCTGCCCATGGCACAGGAAACGTGGGATATGCGTTTCTCCCTGCTCAGTATGTCACACAGGTATGAGATTATGAGAAGGAATTTACAAAAATAATACATGGTGTTTATAACTAATACTCTTGAAGGAGAGGCTAGAGCAGGGGTGTCAAACTCATGTCATCATGGCAGCGTCAAGTGATGTATCGGGACTTCACTAAACGGGGGGTGGGCATGGCCAGCGCATGATGCATGTGGCCCACAGGCCGGGAGTTTGACAGTCCTGGGCTAGAGAGTTTGTATATTTGGTAGTTGCAATTTCTAAGCCTTCTGAACCTTTTCAGCATGCTGCTAGGGAATTCTGGGAATTGAAGTCCACACATCTTAAAAGTTACTGAGATGAGAAGCGTTGGTTTAAAGCAGGGGGTCAGCAATCTGTGGCTCTGGGGCCACATGTGGCTCTTTCATCCCTCTGCTGCAGCTCCCTTTTGCCAGTCAGTAAAAGGAAAAAGGACTCCATGCTAGGAGGAGACTCTATGGTGGGGGAACTGGACTTCCAGTCAGCAGAGGAAAAAGGATGCTGAGCTAGGAGGAGATTCTATGGTGGGGAAACCAGACTTCCAGTCGGCTTCAGAATTGAATGAGGAGCTTCCGGTTAGGACCTTTGTGGCTCTTTGAGTGTTTAAGGTTGCCGAGCCGTGGTTTAAAGGATTTCTAACTGCTGCCAGAAACAGCTCCTCGGTAAGGTTAAACCTTAGAAATAAATCTGAGTTGTTTTCTTCATTTTGAAAGTTGAGATTAAACATAGTTGCATATGAAGCAATTGGCTGCTTAACGGAGCCTAGAAAATTTATCCGTTGGGCTCCTGAAAAGAGGAAATGTTCTTTATTCCCTAAAATCGGTGGGGGGGGAGGGGCTGTGTGCAAATCGGAACAAAGCTGTAAGAAATGAAGTGTGAGACAGTGTAATTTAGATGGCTAAGCAGAATGTACTTTCACAATATCACATTTAGAGCAACTCAGCTTGGCAATATTTAAAGGGCGGGCAAGAAAGAAGAGCAGCTCTTCTTCCACATTGTCTTCCGTGGCCGGTACATTCTTCAGTTGTGTGGGCCTCACCTCCCAGAACGTTCCAGCCAATCTTCTAAGGCTGTGATGGCGAACCTAGGGCACGCATTTCCCAAATGCCACATGGACCCATGTTGGTGGCATTGCCCGTTCCTCTTCCTGGTTTCTTGCGCGTGCAACGATCAGCTGGCCTTTTGAATTTTGAATTTATTATATTTCTATGCTGCCCTTTTCCCAGAAGGGACTTTTGTGCGTGTGGCAGTGCTGGAAACAAGAAGAGCTGGTCTTAATGTTTTCCAGCGTGCATATGTGTGCCGGCCGGATGATTGTCACATGTGCATGTGTGCCAGTAACCAGGTGACTAGCTGGCCACTGCACATGTGTGCCCCAGAAACCGGACGTTCACTTTCCTGCACACACATGCCCCCTCAGCTGCTCCTCTTCCAGGTTGCATCCCAGACGAGCATGTGAAATGTGCACAAAAACTCTGTGCCAAAAAGGTTCGGCATCACTGTTCTAAGAGGTTTGAGTGTTGAAGTCCATAATTTGGAGAACAGCCAGCTGGTGCAAAAGGTGCAGGGGGGAAAAAGTTATGATAGCCAAATACTTTTATGGAAAGCATAAGATACGAATAGGGAAAATCAGGTTCACAAGCTTGCTTTGGGTTACACTCTTCCCTTCAGCACTAATTTCTCCCCGTATTTATTACACATTCTGAATGAATACTTGGATCAGTTTTATTTGTTTTTAGGATGCTTATCCATTATGATGTTACCTAGCCTTAAATGTATTGAGATGCGGGGGGGGGGGGAATGGGGGTATTGTAAAATGAGTTTCAGAAGACCTGTAAAGAAATGTTTTGTAGAAGTCCACTAAAGGCAATAAGGAGCCCAAAGTAAATACTGGAGCTGCAGAGAATTGTAACGTTATTGTTAAAAGAGAGGATGCACCATGCTCAGCACCTGTTAAACTTTGTACATTTTATGTACCTGTGGAATTTTGACTCCTGAAGCTAAAGTGCTTAAGACCAGAGGTCTCCAATGTGACAACTTTAAGACTTGTGGACTTCAACTCCCAGAGTTCCTCAGCCAGCAAAGCTGAGTTGAAGTCCACAAGTCTTAAAGTTGCCAACACAAATTGCAAATTTGAGCATATTTTTTTAATGTACCTGTAGTTAGCAGGCTGCTATTTTTAAGTCACATCACTTTAAGCCTTTATTCATAATCAGAATTGCAACTACAATAACAAGAGATTAGGCTACCCTTGTAGGTATACTAAATTGGAAAAATATCATTTAAGGCTAAGTTTCTAGAAAGCCATGTTGCTTAAAAATACCATTGACCACCTTCCGACTTCCAAGAATGGGAAAAGAAGGGTGTGTGATTAATGCAGCTATTTGTGAAAAATCCTCACCTACAAACAGCATGTCATGCATTAACTGTGTGTGTGTGTTTTTTAAGCTACAGCAGCCATCTTGTGTCTCCATAGCGAGCAGCACTAGTCTTAGTGGGACATCAAGTATCCAGACTCAAGCCCGACTTCCATTCAATGGGTGGGTATTGTCTACGCAAATTATGCCACATGCTTACTACACGGAAGGAGATGAGATGGGAAAAGCATTTAATGTTCAACTATTAAAAAAACAGCTGCTGCAGTTTTGACCACATACCCTAGAAACTGAAGATTTCTTTCTGTGCTTTGCATATAGCTTGGCTACCTGATTAGATTATTGTGTTATTGATTTGGTTATTTCTTCCCAGAGACTCAAGACAGGGGGAAAAATTGAAATGAGGCTGTTAAAAATAGATAAACATAGTGACAAGGGTCTTACAAATATTAGAATATAATCCTGTAGCCATCTCTATGCAGAAGAATCCAATAAAAGAAGAGCCGGTCCATCCATCTAGTTTATGTTTACATCATGTTTTTTTATTTTGTTTTGATAATGCAGAGTCTGAAAACAGATTGGGGGAAAATGGCCTATCTCTTCTCAGAGAAAGCCTTCTCTACTGCTGCCCCTGGAGGCCCACGCTCTCTTAGTCTCCTGCAAAGGGATCAAAATTTGGTTCTGCGGCCTTCGGTGGGGGGCACAGAGGACCACACAACCGTGGGATGGGCTAGCCCTGTGATGATGAACCTATGGCACGTGTGTGGGCATGCTCTCTGTGGGCATGCATGCCATTGCCAGCTGCTCTTCCGGGTTTCGTCCCATGCATGCATGCCAGACAGCTGGTCTTCACGCAAAGACCAGCTGGCTGGCACACATGCACACACTGGAACCCGGAACAGCAGCCGGACGCCACACGCATGCGCACCGGCCAGCTACTCTCTTCCAGGTTCTGGTGCTCAGTTGCGCACCTACAAACCAGTTTCATTGGTACCAAAAAGGTTAACCATCACTGAGCTAGCCCCACGAGAATCCCCTCCTTGCCTGTAATAATCAGTATTAAATTGCCATTTTGGGATTATTATCCTTTGGAAGTTTATAATGTCATTATTCTGTAATTTATTTTAATTGTAATCCTAACTTAATTTTAATGTTAACGTTAATCTTTCTGCATTTCATTGATTGATTATATTATATTGTACACTGCCCAGAGGCCCATTTGAGGCAGATTGGCGGTTTAGAAACATTGAGATATAAATAAATACAATGATACTGAAATCTTATCTTCTAGAATAATCTCGTCTGAATCTGCAAATCGTCCAAGGAAGCCCTGCAATTGTACAAAATCACTGTGTCTTAAGCTGTGAGTATTATATACATAGCCTCTTTGGAGGTTTAAAAATCCACTTTTTGCTGTATATTAGAAGAAAACCCTGGAAGAACGAAAACCCCATTTTCTCCAGGGATCCCACTTTAAAAATTATTCTGTAAAAATCTACTGAAATGATTCTGTCTATTTGCATGATTAGAACAGGTCTCTGTGCAATGATCTATAGCTGAATGATTCAGACTTAGGGGCAGACCAGCAGTAAACCTCACCTTGCAGAAAAAGGTGTATAAGCAATATTTTTATGATTTTATGAATTTATAGCTGCTAAACTGAAAGAAATCTACCTTTTCCTTTAGGAGCAATTCATGCTAGTTTATTTCCTTATTTTTTTGTATCAGTTTAACCATTTTTTTTACAGCTGATCACTCACCTAAGTGACTCTGGGTAGCTATCAAATTGTTATAAACAATAATTAAGATAGATGATATTATATCATCTCAAAATGGGCACATCTAACATTCCAGTCTGAACATCTGTGGAAGCCTCCGGTTTTTAATGCCTTACAAAAGCTTAGCAAGGTTGGAGCCAATTGAATCAGGAGGAGGGGGGCAGGGGGAGAACATCTGAGCTCCATGTGAGATGATTGTCAAACGGTCTTTTCTTTAGAGGCAGCCTTTAGAAGCAGCTGGTTTTTAATTTGTTGGTTCCTTTTCAAGAGCCTGGACCATTTTTATGCCTCATTTCATGTTGAGAATTCCTGCTAAGCCCGAAGTTAACATGCTCACACTCATGAATAAAGGAACCAGTACACACACACACACACACACACACACACACACACACACACACACACACACACACACACCCCTTTGCATAGGTTTGGACAGATGTTTCAGATAAAAGTCCAGCAGGTTGCCAACCTTCTATGTCCAGAAGTTTCTCCCAACACTTAAGAGATTCTGTGTGGTTGGATGCAGAAGAGGAAGGAGTCAAACTCTGCACTGAATTGGTCAAGCATCATTTGGTGGTGGTGTTGTTTTTATTACAGATACTGTGATTGCTTTGCAAATGGGGAGTTCTGCAACAATTGCAACTGTACAAATTGCTATAACAACCTGGACCATGAAAACGATAGGCAAAAGGCAATCAAGGTAAGGTGTTTTTTTTAAAAAAAAATAACAATCCTTTTGTCATCTTGGAGAAATAACATTTCCCAAGTTCACAGTAGCCATGAATTTCTTCTTGAACAGTGGCTGGAAGCCACGGCTGTTGTCTTTACTACGATAGATGGATGTTTTTACCAGTTTTTTCCTGCCCAGGACAGAAGTTGAATCTCTTAATATTTTGGGGTTTTTTTTTTGTAATGGAATTCTCTTTCTTTCTTCTCCTCTCGTCCCTCTTTACATTTCCCTTGTTAGGCCTGCCTGGACAGAAATCCTGAAGCCTTTAAACCTAAAATAGGGAAGGGAAAGGAAGGCGAGTCGGACAGGCGACACAGCAAAGGTTGTAACTGCAAAAGATCTGGGTGCCTCAAAAATTATTGCGAGTGCTATGAGGTAAGGAAGAGCTTTGTGGTGATGCTTTCTTTGTTTAGTCTTGTGAAATCTAGTATTTCAAAAATCTTAACCATTTAGTTATAAATTTCTGTGGGATATTAATACTTTACATCTCTTAAAAACCCAGGGTTAAGTGCAGTCACCAAAAACCTAGTTAATAAAGGTACCTTCAGTTCTTCTAAAAAAAATTCCTAATGTTGATTGATCTTAATAGAGGCAATCCCAACATCTCACTTCCATAAAGGCCTTCTACCATTCTCTCCCTATTTAGTCATCTTTCTGTGTCTTGGATAGTGACTGTTTTTCAGAGTTTTCCAGCGTCTATTTTGATAACTTTTTGTGAAATTATTTTAGTTTATATCATTTGTGCAAAAGAAGCTTCATAATTGTAGGTCTCTGACAGAAGTAAAAACTCTACCCTCTTTTTTGAATGCCCCTATATTCTAGTGAAAGGGGGACACAGTGGCTAAGACGCTGAGCTTGTTGATCAGAAAGGTTGGCAGTTTGGCCGTTTGGCCGTTCGAATCCCTAGTGCCGCATAACAGAGTGATCTCCCGCCAACCTAGCAGTTCAAAAGCATGTAAAAATGCAAGTAGAAAAATAGGAACCACCTTTGGTGGGAAGGTAACAGCGTTCTGCGCACCTTTGGTGTTTAGTCATGCCGGCCACATGACCACGGAGATGTCTTCGGACAGTGCTGGCTCTTTGGCTTTGAAATGGAGATGGGCACCGCCCCCTAGAGTCGGGAATAAATAGCACATATGTGCGAGGGGAACCTTTACCTTTATATTCTACTCAAGCAATAGATGGGAAGGTAGGGTAATATTTTAGAGAAGCAAGCTTTTCAGGAATAATAAAATTGATTTAATTCAATTTTATTTCCTCCTATCCATACCAAATTAGTAAATTTTTATTGGTCTGTTAGTATTCACTTTCTATAATATTTGTCAAAATGCTTTAAATTTAAATTTAAAAAACTGCTAGCCACATCTTTAATTATTAAAAAAGATTCAAGGACAAATCAGGAAAGCTGTATCACAATCATACCGTTTCAGACGTTCATTAAAGGTAAATGAGTTTCCCTGTCAGAAATGAGACAGAAATTGAAAACCTGTATTATTTTTGGGGCTGCAATCGGGCATTATTTATTTTAAAGCGTATTTATAGCACCATTCACCTTAATTTGGGCTTCAGAAGAATGCATTAAATAATCAGCAAAACTAAACAAGAGCAACAGCAGACTAAAATAATATCTAAATGGAGTCTTCAGTTAGGGAGATTGTGATGCAGGTGTGCTCTAAGAAGAAGACCCCTTAACCTGTTCTAGGTCAGAAAATCTACTTTATACTTGCATATAAACCATCCCCAACACGAGAACATCTTCACACAGAGAGTTGGATTGAAAGAAAGGGTCATTGTGACAATACTTGCGCTATCATGGTTTTGCCGGTAGTTTGCTCGCCGAGGTTACACGGAAAGGGGGGGCTCCAAATGTAATACGTTTATATTTGTAATTGCACTTTTATTCTGTACGTCCCATCCAGCTCTGTAACACCCAGTGAACATGCATTTGGTTGACTTTGGATTTCTCCCCGTTGTAGGCCAAGATCATGTGCTCTTCAATTTGCAAATGTATTGGCTGCAAGAATTTTGAAGAAAGCCCAGAACGGAAAACGCTGATGCACTTGGCCGATGCGGCTGAAGTGCGAGTCCAGCAGCAGACAGCCGCCAAGACAAAATTGTCTTCGCAGATTTCAGATCTTTTAACCAGGCCGGCCCCGGTGCTGACAAGCGGAGGGGGAAGGTGCGTTCGCTTCCGGTTTGTTAGTTTTGTACCATTTCTTGCGCGTAAATTAGATTTTGAGAGGAGGGAGACCCCCTCCAGGTGCCTAAAGTGTTCTCTTCCCCTCTTCCCCTTGCTAGCTGCTAAACTTTTTGTTTCCCCCCACGGCTTCTGCTGTTACCGATCATGAGAGTGAAATACAGTGCATAGATGACGGGGTACTGGTTTATGATTTGCCCCGTTGTGGATTTAAAGGTCCAGTACCTTTAAACCGGAAGAAAGAGCTGTGGAATTGGTTAATTAAAATCTATGGAAGGCCAAATGCATAGAGGAAAGAGGAAAGGAAGGGGAAAGAGAAAAGGAGGTGAGGAAGAGAAGGAAAGAGAAAAGAAAGTGAAATATAAGAGGAAAGAAAAGGAAGCGAGGAAGAGAAGAAGAAAGGAAGCGAAATATAAGTGGAAAGAGAAAAGGAAGTGAGGAAGAGAAGTGAAAGAGAAAAAGAAGCAAAATAGAGGAAGGAGAAAAGGAAGTGAGGAAAGAGAAAAGGAAGCAAAATATAAGAGAAAAGGAAATGAGGAAGAGAAGAGGAAAGGAAGCAAAATATAATAGGAAAGGGAAAAGGAAATGAAGAGAAATGAAAGAGAAAAAGAAGCAAAATAGAGGAAGGAGAAAAGGAAGTGAGGAAAGAGAAAAGGAAGCAAAATATAAGAGAAAAGGAAATGAGGAAGAGAAGAGGAAAGGAAGCGAAATATAAGAGGAAAGGGGAAAGGAAATGAGGAAGAGAAGGGAAAGAGAAGAAGCAAAATAGAGAAAAGAGAAAAGGAAGTGAGGAAAGAGAAAAGGAAGCGAAATATAAGGAAAGAAAAGGAAATGAGGAAGAGGAAAGAAAAGGAAGTGAAATGTAAGAGGAAAGAGAAAAGGAATCCAGGAAAAGAGAAAAGGAAGCGAAATATAATTCAAATGCATTAGCACGGCTCACAACCTAAATCTTTCTTTTGTTTGTGAATAGCTCAGTGTATCAGTTAACCAAAAGTGTGGTTGTTACAGCTACATTGAATGGAAACAGCTCATGCTTTTTTCTCCCCCCCCTTCCAGGTTGCCCTTCACGTTCGTAACAAAAGAGGTTGCTGATGCCACATGTGACTGTTTACTTGCACAGGCTGAACAGGCCGAGAAAGCAGGAAAATCAAAAGCAGTAGCGGAACGGATGATTCTAGAGGAATTTGGACGTTGTCTAATGAGAATCATTAACTCGGCAGGAAAGTCCAAAAGTGATCCTTGTGCCATGAACTGCTGATTCTTAAAAAAAAACGGGCTTTGCTCAGACTGGGACACTAAAAGGCACACGGACACTTTCCTGGCTCACGGCAGCATTCTTTGTTTGTTCCCCGGTGCTGTGAAGTTTCCATGGTGTATGTTAATATAGGAACTTTGCAACAAGCTTTTACCCTTTTAACTTAACTTTCTTTTGCTTCACAGATACAGGATGCATTTTATTCCCAACCTCTAAACAACATGGGACAGCAAGTGCAAAGTTTAGATGGTTTCCTTCCCTTCGTACTTTTTAGAAAGGGTATTCTAGAAGCAATTCTTTAAATTATTATTATCATTTGCAATTGATACGGTTGACCTTTGTATTTAGAAGAAGAAAGAAACTAGTCGGTCTATCAAGAGTAAATCAGTTTTTGTGCAAAACTAATTGAAATGCCTGGATATTCTTATAAGAACAATATACTGGATAGATTTTTTCCCCAGCCCATTCAATCAGCGTCACAGCACAGATTATATTTGCAAAAATATAGGCAGCGGTACATCTGTGGATGAGTTAATGCTGACTGGAAATTATTAAAAAATAAATATTTGCTGAAGAACAGCTTTATAAAAATGCAAATTTAAAAGTTATCTTGTTGACCACTATCTAATTTCAGTGACAGTGCCTTGTCTATTGATCTTAAAATATTAACACCCTAGCAGTGATAGCTGCAGATATATAACATTGATAGGAAAAAAAATCAAGGTCATAATTGATATCTTAATCATTTTGGTATGTTTTTAAAAATGCATCACTGTAAAATATATATTCCAAATTTTAATAAGACATTTTTCATGTCTGCTTTCAAGGGGATCAGCATTTTATTTGACAAAAGTCAGTGTAATTAGATTTTTAACATTTCTGCTATATGCCCTATGACAAAATCGAGAACAAACCTGTCTCTTGTTTGTTTAGAATGTAACTATCTGGTCAACTATTGAATTTCCCAGTTTCAAATACTTCAGTAGGCTAATTAAAAAAAATCTTAATTAATTTAATCTTAATTTATATTCATAGTGTCTAAGCTTTACTCAGACCCAACGGCAGGAATAGGTGGAAATAAATTGACGATCATGCCCATATTTGTTAGTGGAAGCAATACCGGGGATATTTCTAAACTAAGGAACCCTTGGTAATATTTCACCTTTAATTATAAAGGGGTGAGATAATAAGGTAATCCTTAGATTTCCCCAAATCTGGGTTACTTCCCAAACTCTGGACTTCAGTTCACAAAACTCCCCATCCCTGAGGATTCCAGAAGCCCATTATGTCTGGAAGTGCTAAAATTGTGTAAAATGGCCGATGTTCTTATGACACTGTCTGAGTTTCCAGAAGAAGCCATTTTCTGGGGCCTTTTGTGTTTCTCAAATCTTTTTTTGCCTCCATTCCAGATGACGCCTAGTGAAATTGCTTTTGGAAAGGTATATTTTAATGGAAAGGGAAGAAGTCAGTACGTTGTTTAATATGGTCTTCACCATCCATTGTCAGTGAATTGCTTAGACGTAGCTCATTTAACTGCCTTTATAAGAACTGTGTGAGTTTTGTTTTAAATGGCGCATGGCGCAGTGTGGAGGGTGCATCTTTTGAAGGCTGAGATGTCTTTTTTTTAAAAAAAAAAAACTGTACGATTGTCATTTACAGAGTTCAGTAAAATGAACAAGTTGGCCACTCTGCAACTCCCTTATGTCCTTCAGCTTTCATGCATCAACTTCTGTCTGTCAGGTTATGGTTGAAGTGTATAAGATAGTTGAAGTGGATAAGACAGTGGAAGTCTATAGAGCCATATCTGCTTCTGCAGAAAATTAGATCCGTCGTATGAAAATTCACATTTCAACTGAAGAGGGAGGAGAAAGATATTACTGAGGTGTTGAAACTTTTTTTTCTTCAGCCAAGAGCCACCATTAGTCCCAGTAAGTATTCAGCCGAGATGTTCTTTTAGCAGTGTTCAAACCAATTTAAAGCTGTGCGTTCTTTTCATTATTCGATTGGCTTAGTTTATATTTTAAAAGTATATTTTAGAAGCATAGTCTTAGGACAAAAACCTATAAGATTTCCTTGGGAAAGAGAGAAAAGAGTGGAATAAAATTATTTGGATGGAACTGCTTAGGGGGGAGAGAACCGTTGCGATAAAAACTATTAAAATGCGAAACACGAGCGCATGGTTTTGTAGTGAAGAACTTGTTCAATGAGTTTATGAATATCTAAGTTCCATGTTTGAATTAGTGAGCACCTGCTAGATAATGTAGCCTGCTCTGTAATTATAGTGCTGCAATTTCCCCCCCTCAAAATGGATGTTTTCTCCATATAATTGTGGGTGGGTGTGTATAGATATATGTACACTCACAAACACATGTTCTATTGTCTTGCAATATGTATGTACATAGCATACTTGCTTAAGTTACACACAACCCTGAAAGGGAAGCTGTTTATTTCAATATAATTCTTTTACTAATAGAATTATTTTTGGCCGGGCAAGAGTTTGTTAATTTTCTGAATAGATGAAGACTTGCCTTTTTACTAAATTTCATAAATCTCCGTACAAGAAGATTTGTATAAATGTAAACTAGTGTAAGTGGGTAAAATCTTGATCAAGTTATTTTTCAAACATGTGTTGCTTTGTCTAGAATTACATTTGTTTTATGTTGTACATATTCTGTGTCTTATTTTAACTTGCACCTTTTTTTGTGACGTGTATTTATAAGTGTGCAGAAAACCTTCTGTGAAGTTTGGATTCTGGTTGTAGATTATGTATAATGGAATTGTGTGTAAAAGATTTGAAGAAGGTGCAATCAAAGGAATCTAGTTTTTTTTTTGTCTCATAAAACAAGCTGTCTCTTCTACATAGCTTGGATCTTCTCCCCTTTTGAGTTTTTCTTGATTGTTTGCATGAAAGTGCTCACAGGTTAGTAAAACAAACCAAGATCTTGATAGCAGCTTATCAAAATTATGCCTGCATTGTGATCCTCTGTCAGCTGAGATTCTGCAGTGTTTCTTTCAAAGCCCCTATAACAATAATTAGGAGCTGCTTAGCCAGAATGCTTTTATATTGCATCCCCTTATTAGAAGATTTTGAGATGGGGAGGGTATTTGGGGAAATTTTCTAGTTATGGTTTACATCCAAAAATAGATAAAATTTATATTACTAGACCTATTAAAAGAATACACTTTTCTATATTGTAAAAAAATGTCAGATAAAGAAAAAATAAAATGTTTATACTATTATGTACAAATTGACAAATGTGTTTTTCTTTGCTAATGTCTGTAATATGAAGAAATTACAGTGGTACCTCAGTACTTGTACTTCATTGGTTCTGTGAGGCACACAGAGTTCTCAAAAAGATGAGTAGTAAAGAAACCATGTGATTTCCCACGTGACCCTTTGTTTCGCCTGGAAGGACTTTCTATTTGTCCCTTTTCCTATGTCAGCAACCTTCCCAGTATGACCAACCTTCTGTGGCTGTTCCCCAATTCCTTTTGCAGTGCGTTGAGTACCAAACAAAGATGAGTACTGGGACAACATTTTTATATGACAAAAATGTGTCAAGTACCAAATTTGAGGAGTTTTGAAGCAGTCGAGTACTGAAGTACTGCTGTAGTAGATTTCATTAGCATAACCACTGCAACTTGATAGTTTCCTTGTTGCTCGTTTTTAAAATGTGTCATCTGAAACTTTTTTCAGTGTTAAACTTTTCATTTTTGCTTTAATGTTTTCCTTATATAATTTGTTATGTCATTTTTGATGCTGATGTTGACATGTAGCCTTTTGCTTTCTCTCTTTTGGTCTTCTAAATTCTCTCTGTTAACACACTTTTTCCTTTAAAATTTTGTGAAAACAAGGCATTTTACTTGCTGTCCTTTTCCATAATTGTTGAATAACCTCATCAGGTTAGTGTTGGTTAGTAAAAACACAATTTTAAAAGTCTAGATTATATTAGATTATATTACAAATTATTTTAAAAGCCTGTAGTTCATGTCTATGAATATTCAGCCCCAAGTCTTACTTATAAGGGATGAAACAGCACAGCCTAACCAGACCACCTGTCTATTACAACAATGCAGTCTTTAGATTCTTTCATCGTATCCCGAATAACCATTCAATAATTTGGGTGAATTATGCTTCTGGGCCCACTGGAAATTATTACATTCACACTTCACTAGAGACTCAGAAGACAAATCCTCTAAATGCTCTAACACCACAATTGAGCCCAAAAATTACGTTGCTAAGTGAGAAATTTGTTGAGTGAGTTTTGCCCTGTTTTACAACTTCTCTTGCTACATTTCTTATGCGAACCACTGCAGTTGTTCAATTAGTAACACCGTTGTTAAGTGAACCTGGCTTTCCCGTTGATGTTGCTTGTCAGAAAGTCACAGAAAGGGATCACATGACCTCAGGACACTGCAACCGTCATAAATATGAACCTGTTGTCAAGCATCCGAACGTAAAGCACATGAGCATGAAGATGCAATCGTCATAAGTGTGAAAAATGGTTATCTTCGTTGTGTAGCGAAGATGCGGCAGTAGCTTGCGTATCCTCGTCAAGAAAGCTAAATGGATCATGTGGAATCCGCCGCAATAAAGGACAACTGGAAGAAGCCTCTCCTTTAACGGGGT